TTTCGCGTGGAGAGACAAGCGGGGCGGATTGCAGGGCTGGTGGCCGCGGAGGGGGGCGGAGGGGGGACACGGAACGCAGGGGCTGCCGAGATGCTGTGGAGGGACAACTGCATAGGGGAGAGAGAAGAGCTGGAAGCTCACCCCCTTAGCTCGTTGTTCTTCCCGTCACCAGGACGGGCAACAAGACAGGATTTGCCTTTGCACTGTTACTACCGTCCCTGTGGTTCAGTCTTAGTGCACGGTGTGATGGGGTGTTTTTTTTCCTCCGGTCTTTAAGCTGAGCAGGCTCACAAGGTGGCTGCAAGTTACAAGCCTTCAAAGTTCGACAAAAAAATCCTCCTCTGGACTGGACGTTTCAAGACGGAAGATGAGATTCCTCCGAGGATCCCGTAAGTGTGCTGTCATTGCCTAGGAGTAACGGAGCTGAAAAGAAAGAGGTGGCATGTTCCCGGTCTAAAACTTTTCTATCAGTAGTTACAGCACTGGAAACTTTGGGGGTGGCAGGGAAGGGCAGAAGGATTTTCTGCGAAAGACGGTGAGACGCAGTGAACCTTTTTTCTCAGGACAGAGTGCTCCGGGCTTCTTGGTGACTCTTTTTGGCTTTTTGGACAGGGGATCTCTATCGCCTTCATTTTACCTTCAGAGCTCACTTGCCAAGTGAAGCGTAGCTTCAGGAAAGACACACAGAGGTAGAACCAGTAAGAAACATTGCTTTAGTGGCTAAGTAACATGAGATCCAGTTTACCAGTACAATCCCAAAACTTTGATTCAGCTGCCATCTGACGGCAGATGTACTCTCTGTAATGCCTTACTGATTTTGCTCTGAAATTTTTCATTGGCCTGTAATGTCATCCCTGTTTATGCCTGGAACAGTTGCAGTCCTGTCAAGGCTGAGTAGCTCCTTTCCAAGCTCCTGCCAAAGCTGGTGGGAATTCAGCACCTCTGCATACATCCCCAGGAGGGGGCATGCGGGTAGTTGTATTCATATCACAGCTGATCAGAACCCTGTTCTGACAGGGTTGGAGTCCTCGTGAGGTGTAGGTGTGTCTCGTTTTATTTTAAAAGATTGTATGTTGTAATTCTTATAGTTGCGCTTAGTGCTCCCCTAGCTAGGACTCTCTCTGCTTTGTTTGCATTAAGCAGCCACTGAAAAAAAGACAGAAGCAATCCTAAAAGTTGTCTCCTGGACCTAGGACTTAGCTGAGTTTACCAGTAGGCTAGAATACAAAGCTTACTTGTACACGGTCTATTTTCATCCTTATGAATCCATAGTTCTTTACTATACAGAGTGAACATAGAGTTTTGAAGATGTCCACCCCAAACTTACCTTTAAGCTTGATCGGGGCGTCTTCCTGGGAGATGAAAGCTGAGGCCCAGGAAAGGAAATGAATTGTTAAAAAGTGATTCTTAGACATGCTAGATGCTCTGCTTTTTGGCAGTTACAAGTTATCTGAATAGCTGTCCTGGATTTCCTTTTGAGGTGTATTGCTTAGGGGAGAGAGCCAACAGTATTGCATGTGTCTTTATTTTTCATTACTAGAGTAGAGTTTAAATGTGCTAGTGGAAAAGCTGGTGGATGATGCCATGTCTTATAGAAAAAGAGGTGCTGCTAATCAGCACAGTGGTAGAGCCGGGTCTTTGTGAGAAGCATCAGCTCTGGCTTCTCGTTTTGAAGGGTTCCTGCCTGGCATTACCGTCTCTTCCAAAACACCAGTGCACCCAGCTACTAGGTGCTCATTCATCCTGCTGTGTAACATTCAAAGTCTCCTTGTATTGTGGCTTTGACACCTGCTCTAGGAAACACGGGTACCTTCTGCGGTTTGGCCCCAGCTCTCCTATCGCTTACTCTAGAAGCTTGTTGGCTGAAGTCGTGCTGCCTTCTCCGCTGCTTATTTATCATCAGGTCACACTTTTCAAGATATTTAAGAAGAAGATAAAGTTACTATAAAAATGGAGGAACTTGACACATAATGTGAGTTGCCACTGACTTAAACACAGGCAAAAAGAACCCCCAAAGGAAGAGAGTTTCTAAAAATCTATGTTAATTTGGAAATTTAAATATGTCAGCCCAAAGCAGTTTTCTGGGCTGTGTTTTTTCATGTCTCTCTTTATGACTTGAGGCATCTTGTGCTGGTTGTAGATTAAGAAGAAAAAATGTTCCTTACTGAAGTTCCCAGGGCCCAGCAGTAAGAATTGGGTCCATCTTGGTAGTTAGCCTCAGTTACATTTATATACCAGCTTAATTATTTTACTTATTGCTGATGTGTAATCAGAGAAGGATGTTATCAGTAAAATATTTCCTGTTTGTAGTGCACATAAACTGTTCTAAAGGAACTGACAGTCACTGAACGATCACAACAAACAAGTTACAAGTTACTATAGGCTAAAGAAGAGTTTGAGGAAAAATAGGAGGTCATGAGAGAAACACCACCCTGCAAAGGCAAATCCAAGGTAAACCAAATAGTTGGCATAGTCTCAGCCTCCCGTTTTTGTTGATCCATTAATTCCACTGCTCCCCTCAACTTGCTGCAAGTTACTCTTCCCCAAGGGAGTTGCCGAACACGTGAAGCCTGTGTATTGCTGCTTGCTGCCTTTTTCTTTGGATGATAGACACAGTGTTCTGTTCTCTCTCTAGGACACTGTACTTTTTATCACCAGAATATGTCCCTCTCTTAGGTGATAAGTTCAGTGCAAGTAGCATATTGAACTTTATCAAGCAACAACACATCCTGTATCTTCTCTGTTATTTTTTATCCCTGTTAGTTTCATAGTTGGGTTTTGAGCTGGGCAGCAGCTTTCTGAAAGCTCCCTTCTCTCTTATTGCATGCTAATCCCACTCTCTTCCCTTAGAGAAAGGTTTAGAGAGGGCTCAGAAGGCCTGAGAGCCTTGACTGAGAGAAAATTGGACTACTGAAATGAGTGAGAGGTGTTTATAAAAATGCAGACCCTTTGCCAGTACATACACACACATGCACACAAATCACTTGTTTCTGTGTGGTAGCTGGCCTGACAAGTGAATATCACCCCTTTTTGCTTTTTGTGTGAGCAAAGTCTTTTTAAAACTGAGGTTCATAAATTGTAATATACCAAAAGAAGCCAAATTTGAAACATTGTAGCTGAACCATGTCATTCCTTTAACTATTAAAATAAAATACTTAGTTGCAAGATCCTGTTATCTGTGACCAAAATCTAGCTGTGGAAGACATTTTGTCCCAAGACACCATTCTGCAGTCCTCATTCAAGCTGTTATTGACTTCAGCAGAGATTTAGCCAGAGTCTTAGCCAGAGTCTTAATTAAGGATCAAGTAACACAGTCTCTAATGTGTGATTAAAGAAGAACATAATAAGGTCTGTTTTTCTTAAAGCAGAAAAGTAAAGGAGAAAGTGAAAATCTGTTTCAGAAGAGTTTCAATTAGTGCATTACAAAATGTAAATTACATTAATAAGCTAGGCTAATAACATTTATATTTTTTCTTTTGTTGCTACAAATGGATTCTGGATAATGGTTTCATGTGCCAGTCTGTTGCATGGTTTGTTTTTGTAATAGATAATGCATTCACCATTGTACCCCACAGAAATGGTAACTTAAACTGTAAGCGCTATCAGTCACCTGCAAGAAGCTTGGTACTGACAACATTCAGTGTGTGCATGTATTTGTGTGTCGGGGTGTGGAAGAGTCTAATAGATGCTTGTAAGGCTTCCCATTTTCTGTAGTAGTAAGCCTTTGAGAAGCATTGCCATCTTCAGACTCTTATTACAGACTTCCTTTGTCAGAACTTTCATTAAAAAATTAAAACATGCTTGGTGTCTCCTACTCTAGTCTTGCTCTTCAAAGGCAAAGCTGCTCTGGGGGAAAGATATCAAATTACAGGTTCTTTGTTCACAAAATAAAAGTATAGGTTCTCTATGTAGTGATCCATTTTAAATATATATAAGCAAAGCATTCCAACATGCTTTACAATTAAAAAAAATGTGATTGGAAAATAGAGCACAGCCAGCACTGTAGTTAATGCCAGAAATGCAATGAACATTTAAAACAGTATTCCCAGAAAATAATTGAGCTCAAAGTTTGATGGAAATTTTAATGAGCGTTTAAAGGAGAGTTGTACAAATTGAGCTTGCGGAACATAAAGTGCATCTCTTACAGGAACTATAGCCCAATGCAAGGCAAAGTATTCATTACTTTTGCATTTGATTAATATGAAAAATGATCACATAGACCACTCTTATTTAGGTACGGGTTCCTCTAATAGCAAGGAGAAGCCCTCTCTAAATGATCGGGTTGCTGCTTTTCTAAAGGAGAACTAACTAAAAAATCAAAACAAAACACTAGCTCATAGCAGTACAAATTCTTTTATTCACATATTCAAACAAGCAAAATCCCTAATCTGCTGTATAGAGGATACCATCCAAACAGGTTAGAGATAACAATGATTCATTTCAGAAGTTAGTTATGAATTAGTTATGAAAGGAACTTTTATTGCTTTTGGTTAACACCACATATATACCTCCATCTGCTAAAAAGTACAAAAATATTTAAATTTCACTACACCTATATAGAGGTTAAGGTATGATTTCTAGTATACTTACCCCAAAATATTTAAATGCAAGTATTTATTGCATGAGTAAAAAAAGAAAAAAACAGTTTAAATTCATTAAATGGTGCTTTTCCACTGAAAATGGATTTAAGATCAGAAAATGTGAAGTTCTTAGTGGTACAAAAGTAATCATTAGAGCAATCCAAAGATGCTTGTTTTAGGAGCTAATTCTATGTTTATTCTTCAATTGTGATGTTGTGTCTGTGAAAAGATACTTGGCACGGTTTTGTTAACGATTCAGTAACTTCAATTGCAGGCCAGAGATGCTGGACAGGGCAAGAAACAAAGCTCGAGTTAAAGCTTGTTACATAATGATTGGACTTTCAATTGTTGCCTGTTTCGCTGTCATCGCTTCAGCTAAAAAGGTGAGTATATCGCTAGCTAGCTAATATGTAGCATACTTTGTAACTAAAAGTCATGGAATTCTATGAAAAGTCCACTTAGGCAAATTCAAGCAGCAGCAACTTACTGTTGCCGTATGTTTAGGTAATATATGTTCTTACTATCCCTGAAGTCTGAAGCAGGTATTGGCTGGTTTTGAGATTTGGTAGCTTTCCCTCAGGTGCACGGTTATTTGTACTACCTTCTGAAGCAGATGTTTTATTTTTGCAGGCTGCTGCACGCCATGAGTCCTTAACAAGCTGGAACTTGGCAAAGAAGGCCAAGTGGCGGAAAGAGGCCGCGCTAGCAGCAGAGTCAAAGACAAAGTAACTTTATAAAAAAATTCTGGATCTCTTGGTAGGAGCAAAATTAAAACTGTTACTCTGAACAACTGGTGAATTCCACTACTAAATGGACAGCTCTAATATCGCAGTCACACTGGTGCCAAACAGTGGCAGTAGTTATAAGATTATGCAAAGCGATGTTTAATCATGTAGCACGTGATTAAAATTAGTTAAATGTGTTGCACATGATTAAAACTAGTAATTAATTTCAAGGGAGATGAGATAGTTTCCTGAGAATGCAAGCCATGGGGAGCCATGTTTCTGCTATCTGCCCTAAAACCTTTCTTTCATGCTTGATTTTGAGCTTCGTTTTGCAGATAGAAGTTTCTTATATAAAAACTAGTAAAGTTTCTCAACGAAAGGTTAAATTCCACAAAGACCAAGGAGTACTGAAGCGAGATTACTAAAACTGCAACTATAAGAAAATTTACACATTTCACTTTTGCAGTTCTACACAAAGAATAAGCAGTAAAATGCCAAAATATCTCAAACATTATCAGGAGAACATTAGGGGAAGTGAGGACAGGGAATTTGTACTGACAATCCTATAAATTTATAATGTCCTTATAAACTTCATGGGAATTTCCAAAGTAGTTGTCAGTCACGGATTTGGAGTTGGGTCTGTGATTATCAATAAAAGTACTTGTTTGGCTAGATATTTGCCAAACTTAAAACCGATTCAAGAAGTTTTCTGTCTGGTGACAGCACAAAGTCTTAAAGTGCACAAGTCAGCCAGTCTGAAATCATCTGTCTCAATGCTGCATTAAAAATGGTATTTTTGTTTTCTAGTTTAAGAAACCACACTTACCAGAACACTTAATAAATACAATAAACATCTGTAAAATAGGTTTTATTGGTTTCTGTATGGTATTTGGAGTTGTAACATTCCATAATATTGCATACTACTCATATGTGTTGTGTTACAGTAATGGGCCTTTGGCCTGGATTTAAAGATGCACTATTATTATCTGAAGTTAATATAGGTATTTCAATTTCACAACATTACATGAAGATATCGTGCTAGAAATAGTTGAAATTTCTCATTCCAGATTTCAGTGAACTCTTGAAGTCAAGAGTTAAAATTTCACATAACAATTGACAGATCTATTACAAAAGACATGAGTCTTGCAATTTAAGAAATTTAAACCAACCGAGAACAAACCATGGAGGAGAGACAATAGTGCATCTTTTCAGAGGAACAGAGAGACCCAACAATAAATATTTTCCAGTTGCAAACTTGTTCTATAGCTAACTTATTTCTGTAGCAATATTATTACTATTTTCTGATTGCTGCTAGCAACAGTGTTTAAAGCAAATACTAGAAAATTAAAAAGCTGTATGAACCAGTCCTCAGACAAAAGTGCAATGATGAAAAAAATTAGATATGATTCAGTGTATCAGAGTAGGGAACTAAAAAAACTTAAGCTTTGCATAGTTGCATAGATTAGCTAGTTAGTATTCACATTTAAGCAGAAAACAAATGGTACCCTTTTAATTAAAGGCAGCCCCGCAAACTGTATTTTAAACAGACTTTGTAACTGATGGGGCACTTCAGTATTCTGTGTTTAAATTAAATGCCAAACTTAAAATCTTTTCTCACCTTCCCCCATCCCCAACTGCTTTCATCCGTTTAGGACACAGCATTATGTTTACTCCACTACCTTCAAATGACTAGACCAGAGCTGATTGTACGTTGTCATCTCTGGTTTTAAACTCTTCATGAAGAGTTTTTAAACAAAAAAAAAAATACTTTTAAACAAATTCTAGGGTAAACCAAGTGCTAAGACTAAATAATGTTTTTCATTAGCTAAAGTCAGTTAGTTTGAGTTCCCTTTTAAACTATTACTTCAAATGTATCAGAGGCATGAAATATAGTTTATCTAAACGCATAAAGTGCGGTCATTAACTGCTCAGACATACAGAGTAATATATCCACAAAACTGAAGACATTCTTTCAAAACAAATATAATACTTTAAATGCCTCCTCTTCTCACCACTTTCAAGTCTTTCAATCAAGATTTTTATAGTATTTTTTTATAGTTTATAAAAGACCATAGTTTATAGTCTTTTAAGCAAGATTTGGCTTAGAGAAGCTTATAAATGCAGTGTTTACAAGGTCCTCCAAATAAAAAGCAGGCACAGATGGTTATGTAATATTATCAAAACAAGTAATGGAATACCCTGTTACCTGAATAGTTTTATTATACTAGAACACTGAAGTTCAGTATTTACTAGCAATTCTGATAGCTTTCCATGATCATTACCCTGTACTTTGAACAGATGGGGGGAGGGGAAGAAGTTAGAATATAAAAACTAAAATTATAGGCGTAAAAAGGGCACAAATACAATCATCTAACATCATATGAAAATTTGGCAGCTGTATTTAGTATTATCCCACTATCTGAAACTGCTGTATGCTGTACAAATCTAGGCTTAAAGTGTCATTTGCTAAAATATCTCATTACTCAGAGTTCATAAAGTAACAGCACTCCTATATACACTTCTTGTAACATACTTCTAACTTCTAGTAAAAAGTTCAAAAGAGGCTTCTTCCCACCTAGTTACATCTTAGTCAAAACTGACCACTAATCTTAAAAAAAATCCACTTCAAGTCCCACATTCAATTACAATATAGTATATATTGCTGTAACAAAGTGAAACATCTTATGAATCTTAACTTGCACATAAAAAAAATTCTAAATATAAAATGGTACTATAAACGATATCACCTTTAACCTGTATTTCTCAGTGCATTAAAGTATTATTTAGTAACAAGCACAGTGCCATGGGAAAAGTAATTTTAAATTTCAATTGCAGCTTTTATAAAGCACAAAATGCTCTCATGTCAAAGACTTCACTTAACCTGGGAGTTTTATGTTAACACATTAAATACAGATAAAACTCATTTAAGTTAACCCAAAGTATTAATTTCTCCAAATGAGACAAACTACTAATATGCTAAAAACACTACTAACACGCAAGTCCAAGCAGAGCATACATTTTTCTGTATTTAAAATGGTTAATGTCAATATTAGAATCCTATTTCTCTTAGTGTTTAACAGCAAACACTGTATATTGTAGAACCTAAATACTCAGAAGACAATAACTTCTAGTTAGTTTGGTGTCCACATACCTAATGCTATTTACAGTACAACAAACTTTTCGTTCAGCTGGAAAGGAGCAATTCTCTACCCATTTTTCACTGCAGCATTTCTATTGTTTTATCAAAGGAAAACAAAGACAGCTAACTTAAAAAAATCAAGCTGTGGTAACGTATTTGGTCAAAAACATAACATCTACTGTCTAAACAGAGCTACTGTTACTAGAAAGGCAAACGCTCCAATTTTTCTCAAACTAAAACAGTGTTACCACATTTTGACAGGAGACAGCTGTAAACCATCTGCCTTGTATTTGCAACTGTGCAAATTGCCATCCCTCTCATTCAAAATCACAGCATTCTTGTGGTAACTACAGCAATTGCTTCCACAGCAAAGTATTAGATTTGTGGCTGACTTTTAATGCCGTTTAGCAGCTTTAATTACAGAGCTAGCATCAAATGACCAGCAAGCTCTCTGCTGATTCCAATTTGAAAGCCTCTGAAATAGTCCTCTTCCCATGTACATCAGAAAAAGCTTTTTCATATATTTAATATTATATTAGGTAATTAGCATTATATATGCATGTCTATTATGTCTTTAAATACAATTTATAAATAAATTCCAAAAGTGTGTTAAGTAATGCATAAAAGTTTCACAATTTAAATAAATATTTTTCACATTCCAATTCAGCTTCTCATGCCTTAGTTCTGAAGCAATGTTTTTGCTTCATTTCTAGAGGTAGATTTGATAAGAGACTGGGCAAGTCAAGCCTACTGCCAAAAAGGCAACTGTCAATAACGGTATTGCTGATATGCAGTTTGAGACTACACGAGAAATTCAGAACCTCTACCTAGAGTCCTACTGAGCCTTAGCTTAACAGTTCTTCTTAAATCACATTTAATGCCTTACTGTAGACATGATTACTCACAGTTGTTTTCTGTACAGATGAGATAATGAAAAATGCAAATACAAAACAAAAATGAACAGTTGTATCTAACACAATGTATAAAAGTGCATGAGCTGCTTCTTCATCTATCTCTGAAAAACATATTCAACTTTTTCTCTAGCTTTGGCCATAAAGAAGAGACCTCAAAAAAAAAAAAAAACACCTACAGGAGTTTAAATTTTATGCTTGTCTCCACTTGATTTTTTATTTTTTTTTTTACAGCTGAAACCCTTCCATTGGAGCCTCCTGCTGTTGAAACACAAACTGCTGCTGACTTTCATCCACCTGAGGTGCAATACTGGAATCCTCTTCTTCGACACCAAAGTAATGTTCTATGAGTTCAAAAGCCTTTTGGTAAATCTCTTGGTTTTCATGTCTCTGAAGAAATTCAATTTTATCAAGTCCTAAATAAAAAACAAAACTTTTTCAAAATCTAGTTGCTTCTGAAGACTAACAGAATAATGAATTCAAAGAGAAACAGGCTGTAATATGAAAACTTAGTGGTAATTCTTAAATTAAAAAAACAAAACAAACCCCCAAACCATCTGATTTCATTCATTATCACTGATCCTCACAAAAAATGGATTATTCCCCCCATTCTTTCCAGTAATGAATATGTATTTTCTCCCGCACTACTGCTCCTGACTGAGACAACTGCTGCATTTCTTAATCTATGTATTAGTTATTACTCGGCTACATTTTCTACAGCTTTGCGGTTACAAATGTAATTTTAAGAACTGTATTAAAAGGATATCAATTAAGATAAGAAAACAGCTGTGGTATGTACAAAGAAACACACCATGTCTACAGTGAAAACAAATCTGTTTCGAATCAGGACAGTATAAAACTGTTAGCTAGAGCAGCTTCTAGTATCCTCATTTCTTTTCTTTTGATATAAAAAGTTTAATTTCACTCTTTCAAGTAACATCTCTGAATTCTATCCCCTATTATGGAGTCATCACTGGCTGCAGCCTGGTATCTTTTTTTCAACTCTAGTTGTTTTCAAATTTGAATTCAAAGCTTTCAAATTTAGAGGGCATCATCTATATCTACAAAGGGTGCTCTACTGGCAGAATTGTAAGTGCTTCCTGTCTTCGTTTCCGATCCTAGTTTTGGTAAAGTCAGTTACGTTAACTCAGAACTCCTGTTTAACTATTTACGATAAACCAGCTTTCCCTTAAGTTGGATTAGGAAGAGCTCATATGAAACATTCTGGTCAGTACAGAATCTGAAGTAATGCAGGTGATGTCATCAGCTAGCACAGCTGTTTCCCCAAACTAATTTCTATCCACAGTTTCAGCAGCCCACTGCCAAATCAATCAAACAATCACAATATGAAATGGGAACCTTTGCTGTTTTGTGACAACCTTAATATTTCTGTAGTGGTGTTAACATCTCTCAGAAGATGTACTTAACCTTCTCAAAAGGACCCTTAACGTTCAACAGTTCAAATTCTGTCCCAGATCTCAAGCCTGTTCACAGTAAGTTACATTAAACTATTAAGTACTTAGTCATCTTCCATGGTAGATTGGAAAGCAGGTTTGCCCATGCACAGAATCATACTTGATTTTAGAAATGTAACTCTTTAATAGGGATTCAGATTTAATGACCGTCTTACAGAAAACTCAGAAGCATTTAATCAGATATAATATAGACAGCCAGAACTGTTACCAGTTCCTGAAAACAAAAGACTTGCCTATTTTTTCTTGTCAGAAACTATGGAAAGATGAGCCTCCATAAACAATGAGAGATTGTTTTAATATTAATTTTTGTCAAATCAAAAACATCATTGGAGAGTTTCACAAATGTAATTTTAATCTTGATACTCTGCCTTTTAAAAGTGGCTTAATTTAAAATGTCTCAAAAGAAGGAGGAGAACAAAATATTTTCAAAAGTAACTACAACTGACGTAATTTCATGATCTGAAGTAGACTCTTGCTATTACCGATATTCACTCCGCTAAGAAATAATCAACTCTGGGAATAAAAAAAGTTCCTGTCCAGCTAGTATTTAAAATAAAGAAGAACTAAGACAGTAAGACAGACTCTGATCTTGCCTCCCTGTCAATAACAACCTGTATCTGATAGGAGTATATAGTAAAATAATAAACATATATTTAAAATTCAATGATAAAATTATGCAAAATATAGCTCCCATAGACTAGCATACCTGTGTATTAAACGTTTCTGAGAATGCTTCTCCAGATGAGTACTTCATAAACTGAACACAGGCAAAAACAAACAAAAAACCCCTCCTGCATTTAACTACTTTTCCCAACATGTTACATTACTCTATTTGCAATGATTAGCGTCCACTTATGTTTGAAGAAAAAATTCTTCTATTAAACTTACCTAAATATCTCATACAAACGGTTGAAAATGGTTTTGCTTTTACAGCTTGAAATAAGCAAGTTTAGGTATGCAGTTTTACAAGTAGTAATTTCTTACCATATGCTTCCTCTATAAGAGCACAATAAGGATTAATGCCCATTCCATTTTGCTTAGACTCTTGCTCTCCAAGACGCAGAATATTTTCAAGTCCATTTAAAGCCACCTGTACTATTTTTGAATCCATCACAGTCAGGAGGTCACAAAGAGGCTTGGTACAACCTAACGCTACCAAATACCTTTATAACAGCAGAAAAACAGAGCAGGGGAAAAAAGGATGATAATTCAGAATGGCACGTCAGAATAAATGGCTATCAGCATTGGTCCTTAATTTTGGTTAAAAAAAGTAGCTGAAATAAAACATTTATAAAACATGCAACGGCATAAAAATAATCTTAGTCTCAAATATAATAAATACTGTAGTTTATCCTAATGAGAAAATCTAATGTGTATATTCCACAAATGTGGAACTTACTAATTAAGAATCTTTTCAACTCCTTTTTACGTACAATTTTCAGATAAGTTTGACTGAGTATAGGAGAAAACGTTAATAATAAGTAGTAAGTTTTTTTTCAGGCACTAAGAATTTTTATAGCAGTAAAAGTATCAAGTAATGTTACAAAGAGATAAGATTGGTCCATACTAACACAGTCCCTATCAACAACCCATCAAGATATTACTTTTATCTACTGTCAAGAGAAGGACTTAAATGTGAACACAACAAAATATGGAGATTCTGAGCATCTTGTTCCTCTTCCCAATTTTGCATAAAATTCTGTGTGGACTTTGGGAACTCAGAACCTCTCTCCCTGTTCCTACCATGCAAGTAACATGGAGATAGTAACGTCTGCCTGCATCAAAGTGCTGTCTGAATGCAGTTAATTAGTGGATGTAAAGCATCCTGCATTTTGAAAGTCGTTTCTCGAGGATACTGAAAAAGCTAAAACTTCATGAAAGAGATAGTACCTATTTTGTGATGGGAAGCTAATGTTTATGGTATTATATGAATGTTCATGCAGGATCTTGGAATAGTAAACATTCATGTTAAATATGCTAAAGTTTTAAGATGTTAAGTTATGCAAGCAATTAAAATAAACTTTCCTTATGTCTCAAGCAATTAAAATAAACTTTCCTTACATCTGATAACATTTAGCAGTGGTAAGAAAACCAGAACGATTTAAGTTTTCAATAATAAAAAAAACATGTACTTGCTGTAACACATCTCACAAATATGCTGAAGGAGTTATTACATCACTTTCAGTTCTGGCTTCTAAATATTATCCCGTCATTTTAAAATCCATTTATCAACTACTGATACAAACTAATGGCATTCAAAGAAACTACAGAGTATTTGATTCTAGTCATTCAAGATGTCCAGTCTTTGCAGTACATAAATAGCTGCTGATAGTGATGTTTTATTAAACTATATTTTGAAATAGTTTGATATCCACTTTAAAACAATACAGCTAGTGCATACATGAAGAAACAGCTAATCTTTGTGAAGTTTCTCTATAAAGGGATACAGTCCCATTTCACAAGTTTTCCTTTTTCAAACACTGAAACTATTCATTAACTATTTAAACTGTGTTTGGCAACGAAACATCAACTCCTAAAGCTTTCACAGAATTAATACCTCTGAAACAAAGTAATTTCTGTCAATTTGTGGTTAATCCTACTGTATATCTTTTACTCATCTTTCTAAATTTCTACATGCTTATCCACTTATATATGAAGTTTCAAGAAATTAGAGTTGTGCTTATGATTTTGTTGCTCAGTTTGTTAGAATTCAATTGCAGGAAGAAAAAATTCCGAGAAAAAAATATTTGGGCAAAGAAAACAGCAACATGCACAAACTAATTACCTAATCTGTTCAGGGGTTCCTCCTGAAGTTGCATTAGTTATGGCCCATGCTGCTTCTTTTCGGGTGCGAAATTCAGCTTTCTGAAGAATTTCGATCAATATTGGAAAAATATTTGCATCTATAACAGCCTAGAAGAAGAAATCAGGAGGTTCTGTGATAATTAAGAAAGTTAACATACATAGGAAAAGAGCACTGAAACCTTTCACTGTTAAGTTTCAGCTATGCCTGTTGATATCAAAGGATATGATATTTTGTTTCCTATCAAGAAGGCACCAGTAACTAGGAATGTTAAACTGATACTCAGAACTATTCCAACATTGCACCACAAAAGCCTTTTAAAAAGCCTTTTAAAAAAGAAATTTTTTTAAATTTCTTTCTGTGATGGACAGAATAACGCTTGCTGGATGGCTCTGTTTAAAAATCCTATTAGTATGTTAAGATGATGCTACTGGACCTAGAAAACGCACTGAAAAGTCTTGAGATTTCAAACTGGAGGTCAAGTTTCAGAACAAAACTTCACTCTGGCCTTTTTATTCAGGTCTGCAGTTTTTATAGAAAAGATATGTCTGTAATTAGAGACTATATAACAATATATAAAAAGAATTCAAACAAATAAAATTTTCATCTGTGACTCAAGAAGAAAAAAATTCAGGTTGATTAAGAATTCTCATTTTTGTGAAAGTCTGTCTTTTGACAGAACCTTTTCTCAGGTAATAATATTAGACTGCGCACTGGAAAAATAATTAGGATAAAATAATGTCAACAAGACAACTCAGTATTAATGACATCACTCAATTTTCTTAAATAAGTAAAATAGTCAACATTTTCAAATAGGTGGAATTGGTAGAACGGGCCTCTTTGCACTGGACTAGTTTGTACAAGATGCTTCTTTTCAACTTTTAAGACATAAAAATTGCTTATTAACAACACATATACTACAAAGTATAACAAAATTAAAGAGAATATATCATTAGATGATGTGCCACAGGAAAAAATAGCAACTGTTGATATTAAATCCAGAAAATAATTTAAGTATCCTTTCATTCCTTCTATAAGAATTAACTTTTGAGAGAAACAAATCACCTTCTCTAGTACTAATGACAATAGCTACTTTTTTTTTTTAAAGAGTAGTTATTTATAAACTTTGTTCAAAATTAAAAAACAATTTAACAGATAAAATTATAAACAGGATTAAAACAAATAATGCAGAGTTAGTACAACATCTACTTATTTCTCCTTGTGATGGAAAATCATGTGAGTTTATAAAAGGAAAATGAAAACAAAACAAGCCCAAATTAGTAATATACAGGCCGTTACCTGAATCTGAGCTCTGTTTCCTGCAGTAATATTAGAAACAGTCCAGCATGCTTCCTTTCGAATAGATTCCTTGGGACTACTAAGCAAGTGCAAGAGACAGGGCAATGCAGAGCAGTTTAGAATCACCTAAAATAATTTGAGAATTGAAAATTTGCTTGTGCAATTTAAAAAAAAAAAAAAAAAAGCACTTTACAGATCACCACAAAAGCAGATTTTGCAAAAGCTTTATACTTTACAAAACGTCATAGATAACATCTTACAAATCTTGCAAAACGAAAGTTCTCAGTGCTCCAGTGTTTGAACAGACAATGCAATGATTGAGGGCAGATTCTTTCAAATTAACTTCAGACACGGAGACTAAAGACAGCAAGACTTAATGAGGCTGCTTAACACTACAATACGACATCTTAAATCACTGATTAGGTCCAAAGTTATCTGTTCATATTTTTTTTAAAGGTACAGATGTCTTCTATTTAATTCCTCAGTGAAAACCTCTTTTATGGAGCCCACAATAAAATAAGTAATTAACTGCATTCCTTATTTTCCGCACATATTAGTTCTGTAAGCCTTTTAAACACAATTTTCTTCAAAACAGAACCTGTCTTGGTAGTGCTTCCTGCATTGCTTCAAACTTAATTCCATTGCCCAAAAAAAAAAAACTTTGGGATAAATTGCATCAGCAAGACTATCACATACAAACTCATGCATAAACCTAGCACGGGTGTTGCTTACAGAAAGTGAAAACTTGACTGCATTTTCAAGACTTAACAAAAAAAAAAAAAAAGCAATAATAGATAATAGAACCTCCCCTAAGAAATAAAAGTTATTTTCACAATTCATGAAAAGCAACATTCAAAATACCATAGAGAAATGAAGTAATCCCCTAACTTCATACCTTGCTGTAAGAAAAAGTTAATTCTTGCAATAATTTAGTGTTTAAAATAGCAGCCTAAACTGACTGTCAGACTGACAGTATAGAAAACAACATAGATTTATACAGAGCTCTTTCAGTAAGGTATATGGACATATATTTTGTTACAATTAATTTTTACAAAATTCTGTATCCCTCTTACCTCCTGCCCATTCATTTTTCTTAAACCAACTAGTCTTACCTGTGTCTGGATATCATCACCAGTAACAATGTTTCCAACAGCTCTTAATGCAGGGGATACCACCTTGTAATCATTATGCCTGGAGATATTACAAATATTAAATCGTTTGATGTTACACTACAGTTTTGCATTTTCAGTGAAGAACGGCTTACTTCAGGTGCTAAGTTTTTATTTACAGAAACCACTGCATTATTTCTTATAAATTCCCCTTATTTAGCCAAATTTGACAACTGTAAACCCATAACAGAATTGCTTATTCAAGGAAAGGGCATCTTTATGGAACAACAAAAATTGCATCGTACAGCAGAAGAGAAATCTGCATAGCAGATGCTATCTACATGTTGAAGACATGAACGCTTCACCCAGCCCAACTACTATTGGATACTAATCTGGAAACTGCATTATTCAATAGACAGAGACAAAAGGTGTGTCATTAGCTGTATACTAAAACTTAGAAGCCCCCTTTTGTAAGGGAACTTCCACACTTGGTAAGTGAATGACCATAGAAACCAACATATGAAGTCCACATTCAACTACTGAACTGGGGGATGAGGTGGTGGGAAAGCTATTCAGTTTTCCTAAAGCATCTAAGAAAGAAAAAGCAATCTCACTCTCTCCTGACAGGTACACAGATGAGCTTTTCACAGGGAGCTATATTCAGCTGTTGATGCTGGGAACTACTATCACTACTTTAGAGCCCCCATATGAACATAGGGATTTAGTCTCCTTTTCTAGGGAGATAACTATAAAGCAAATATTCTTGAATGGTTCCAAATTGGCAGAAGCCGACCTCTGCACTTTCGTTGTCCAACGTTTCCCTATATTTCAACTTCACCTCCTAGAAAATAGCGTTACTAGGAAAAGAATAAAATACAACAATGACATTAACAAATTTAAGCGGAGAAATTAATTTACAATTCAAGCTTGGTCTTCAGCCTTCACCATTTGACTTCTACATGTAGAGGAAATCCTACATCAAATTTTAAAGAATAAAAAGGAGTACTTTGGAGAAAGCTTTTTTCACTGCTAATCTCAGGAAAAATCCCAAAAGCAAAGCGACCTAGCAAGTAATTGAAAAGGTTTCAGACTGAGTTCATGTACATTACTCTCACCAAAGAAAGTTCGGACTTGTGGGGTCTTTTTTCCCCATCTCAGAACAACAAGGGGAGATCTTCTCCTTAAGGAGAACTCAACTCAGTTTGAATTCACTAATATTAACAATACTATAAGACATGTATTTGATGAAGAGAGTACTTACATCAGCAACTCTACCAGTCTTCGACATACTCCAGAATCAATAACAGCTTGGATTTTATCATTGGGTCCATCTGAAAGGTAAGAGAGGGCCCAGCAAGCATCTGCTAATACATCCGGGTCACTGCTAAACAACAGTCTTGATAAAACATTTAAGCAAGGAGCAACCTAGGTGAAAAACAAATATTGCATAAATACTTCCTAGATGTAGATATCTCCTATTGTTCATGTTTCAGACAACATTTTTCAAATGTATAAAGGTGTAAAACTATTTGCTACCAAAGCACATGTGCTCATTAATGAGCCAGAATCTGGGTGGAATCTTTCCTGATTAAACTACATATCCCGTTCAAACCTGTGAATTGCATAAATTTTGATTTACAGCCTATTTGCTTAGAAGTATTATATTAGGTATATAATTGCTCAACTTAAATAAAAAAAACCCTACTTTTACAGGTAACCAGTTGATCAGGAATTACTGACGCATTTTTGGAGTGCCCAGAAAGAAGGGAAATTCACAGTAATCATGCTTTTTGACACTGATGCCACTGTATGAGTATTGGAGATTATCTGTAATAATCAATTTACAAATTCTACAAATTTAATACAAAGACTCTCAGAGTAACTCACAAAAAGGAATTAGCATTTTAATTGAACTAAATCAAACAAGCTACAAGTGATCTCAATAATTCTTCCAGTTGTGGTCTCTAGCCCTCATCTTCTGCAACCTCCACACAAACAGATTGATAGAGCCCACTAAAACAGGTCATTTTAAAAGCACCTTAAAACTGTGCGGTTTCAGTTGGACAGATTAAGAATGTTACGTTCTTTGCAGAATTTGAATCTTTATCGTGTATCTGTTATGCAATTCAGCTTCATTACACGTCTGATTAGTGCAACTGCAAAGGGCAAAAAGTAAACGAGCTATTATCATTAGCTGCCTACACAGCATCCTTTCCAGTGAAGGGAAAATGGTTTAAGCAGCAAAGAGGCTTGTTGCTTTTTTACTGCCAGATTTAAATGCTACTGAAGGGTGTAACTTAGGAACAGAAATTGCAAACAAAATTAATTGATGTCAGAAATTCCCCGTTTGTTTACTTCTCCCAAAGAATTATAAAGTGGCAATGACAGCAGTCACTACTCTACAACTTAAGTTTCAAGATAAATGTACACTCTCTCCAAATTATCTTTATTGTCCTTTTTATCCCAGTCTCTTCTATCAGAACACCTAAGTTTCAGCTCCATCTTTTACTATCATTAGAGTTACCAGGAATTAATTTAATAACGAAAATAAGATGTTACTATTTCTACCAGCCTCTGCAAGTCTTACTGTCTTTATAACTGCGTACTGGAGAGAGAAGAAAGTGATGGGGACAGCATACAGGCAAACTATCGTAGGAATTTTAAGCCAATTTAATTGTATTTGACAGAGGGGAAAATGCAAAGAAAACGTTATTCCTGTAGTGCGAGCTTGCATCGTATTATACGATCACAAATTCACAGAAGAAAAGAAAAACTTCAATCATAACTCACATCTAAAACAAATCTGGAGAAAATACAGCCCCATTGGGTTTGGTGCTCAATATACTACTTGTCCACTATTTCACATCAGTGAAGTGAATAGTGAAGCACTATTTATTGGCAGCTAAGTAATTTAAATCTAAAGTTTGTAACTGTGTTAATTTTGTGTGCCAGTTTCCTTCAATTTTCTGATTTCTCAAGACAAGTATTTTTTATTATACCTTACTGAAGTCTGGAGGTGGATTCTTTCCTCTACAGAGATTTGAGAGAGCCCAGACTGCATTTCTAGTTGTTGTAAGACGATTTGAATTTGTTAACAGCCTGTCAAAGAGAGAGAAAAAACGTTATCAAAGGATAAACAGCCTTTTTCTTGTCTATTGTCATTGAAAAAAAATTCTATTATCGGGTACTAGTTTTAGTTTACTTCTCTTAATAGCACACATGCTGCAAATATTTTCTTAGAATGAAATGAATCTGCATAGGCTATTTTGCATGGACAACTCATTCCCAAATTAAGTATATGCATATAAAGTACATCATTGCTAATATGAAAAAAAAACATTCAGTTAATCTCTTCTGAGGTTCGTCAGAAGGGGTAAGGAAACAGAACCCTCCTTTCAGTTCGCTTTCATGTTTTCATTAAGAAGATGCAATTTATCAAAATATATCAACCCCCCCCAACAGTATCCATAAAATATTAAATTTAAAAGATCTTAAAAAAACAAAAACAAAAACAAAACAACTTTACTATTTTTGCTTAATGAATGCAAAAGACGCAAAATTTGAAAAATATATATACAAAATACATACCAAAATGGCCAAAAATCTTTAAAGCTTTTAATTCTTAGGAAGGTCACAACATTGCTCTATATTAAATTATTTAAAAGGATTTGTAAAATAGCTTATTATTTTAAGCAACAATAAATTTGAGAAAATTTCTGTTGGATAAATTTTTGCTTGTGATGAAGCTAAATTACATCATACTGCGAGCATAAAGTTCGCATAGTTAAGTGCTATGCTTACTTTATGAATGACACTCCTAGTGAAGAGACATTTTCTGGTGGAAGACACTTAATGTAACAACTACTCCGCCAGCTCATTTCAACAGCCAAACTGACAGCAAGACTGAAACTTGGGGCTACTGGAAAAAGTTGGAGAAGCCAGGGAGGACAACCTGTTGTACAGCCAAGGGGAAATCAGACAAACAAAAGTATGACTTAAATCCTTTCTCTCACATTATATACGCCCTCCTTGGCTGCGCACCTCAGATATTTCATTTCTGTGAAATAACACTAAAAATAAACTTTTGAAAACATATGAAAGTTTCCAGGGATGGATTATTTAAAAGCATACCTAAAGCTCAGATAATCTGAAATGTTAGATTCATAGCAGAATAATATTTAAAAAGTTGTATCTGGAGAGCATTTTAAGGACTGATCAAGGAAAAAAAAATACTCTCAACTTAGCAAAAAGCTTGTGTTTATTTGTAAACGACTTCCAAGTTGAAGCTTATAGTTATCTATAGCTCTATACTAAAGTTACGACATTAACTTACAATACTTACTCCAAGAGGGGTGGTAATATTCCACAGTTTAAAACAAAGTCTCTGCATTCTGCATTATCACCAGCAATGTTACCAAGAGCCCACACTGCCTAAAAAAGGAAAGCATCTAAGTGAAATTATACATGCTTATCTATCAACTTCTACAGGTAATCTACATATATTTACAGCAGATATTATGAAGGAGTCAAAAAAAAGTTAGCAATATCATTCTGAACACAAAATTCCAAGACGACTGTGTTGATGTCTATAGTGCATTTGTTGTGCACTTATACAAAGTCAATTACATACATTTGAGGTCATACGTTTAACTAAAGAAAGTCTCCTGTTATGAAAATACGTTGATTCATATGCTTTTCAATAAAAGGTGTACATATTCTTTTCAAAAGCTATATTTGCTCAATAAATGCTGCAATAAAACTGGCTCAATGATGCAAACCATGCAGGAGGAATCAAAGGAATTAAATAAGAAGCTTTCACTACACAAATTCTTAAGCATTTCAAAACCACGGTAAAGCGTAAGCCAGCATACTACAGTATCTCTCCAAAATATTTAAAAGCAATATTCAGGGAAACATTAATGAAAACTGTAAAATAACACAAGGGAAGAACAAAAGGATAAGAGAAATAAAACTACCTACTAACTTTGGGGGGGGGAAAAAAAGTACAGTCATTTTCTGTCTGTTACAGTATTTTACATCCTGTTCACTTGTAAACACCACAATAGAAATGAGGTAGTTTCTCAAATGATTCAATGACATAAAATAAAAAATAGGTTCAAAGAAACCTGAAAGAAACAGATTAAAAAAAGTTATGATAGGGAAAAAACAGCAAAGGTAAAGCTTTAGCTTCCTGGAACCTGAACAATGGGCTAGTAAGCAAACGAGGCTCACAGCTTCTTTAACCAGACAAAGAAAAAAGACACTCACAAATACATTTTTAGTAGTTATAAAATGCCTTAAGAAAACAGTTACCTGCTCCTGTACATCTTCATGTTCTGAACTAAGCAACTTAATAAAGATCGGAACAGCTCCAGTTTCAATTACTACTTTGGTGTGTAAAAAAGTTCCAGATGCTATATTTGTCAAGGCCCAAGCTGCTTCAAACTGCCGAGAAGCAGAAAGAAAATCATTTTAAACTACTCAGTAATAAGGTATAAGCATTAAAAATAAACTATAGCATGAAAGTTGCAGAGGTTTACTTTACATTTTTTTCCTCTTTCCACTAAAAAGTAATCATCATTATTACGGTACTTTCCATATAAGAAAATAATTGTCATTGATAGAATATATCTGTATTTATTAATCACTGTTAGTATCTATATTGTTTTTAGGTTTTAGTTTGCACCACTTTAATTGTAAGCCAGATTTCAAATCTCTTATTAACTGATACAAACCCTTTCTGGTTATTCCATACTAAGCTTAAATTAATTCTTCTAATACGAGTGTAAACAAGGTCCATGTGCCGTTCCACAGGCTACCACAGGTAGTCAGAACTAATTATTCACTTGTTATTAACTTTTCAAAGATTTTTCTAGAAGTGTTTCATACAAAAGAAGGAAAAGATACTGAAAATTGAAAGGCTCATAAAAGATTACAACTGAAAAGAAGCACTACACTATACCCACACTCAAACAGAACAGTTGCTGCTCACACATCAGTGTTGATGCTCTTAATTTATCACTCCGGAAATGCTCCTGAACAAAGACTGCCACATCCAAGTATTTGACAGCTGAATATATATCCAAACAGACTATTATGAAATTCAGAAGAATCACGACAATTTTTGTAGCAATAACCGAAATTTTAGACAACTAAGACTTACAGCTTTGATGACTAAAAAATAATTAAATTTGATTATAAAAAAACATATGATTTCCAATGATGTTTTGAGGGTTTCTAATTCCATTCCAAATGCCAAACCAGTACCAGCCAAACTCACTTGCAGAGTGTAATTTTCATTCCTTTCTAGAAATTTCACAAATCTCTGCACTACTCCTGGTTTTTGGATGACTTCATCTATAGGCGGATTAGGTTCTAGGGGATAAAAAACAAAGATATTTGCATAAGTCTAACAGAAAAGACCAAATAAATTACTTTTTTTGGTATAACACAATATGAATGTATTTCTCATAATTTTTAGCTCTCAATCACTTCAATCTCAAATGAAGGAGTTAAACTTTGACTTTAGAATAGACTGCTGGATCATCTCCATAAACTGCTTTAACTTACTAAAAACTCTGTTGTGTATAATAATGGTTCTATACACCATTATCCACTGGCTTGTTAGTAACTCATTATAAAACACTGCTCCCTGAAATACTAATTCAGGTAAACGGAAGAACAACAATTATGGGATACTAATGTTAAATGACCAGGCATACCTTTGTCCAGTATGGTGCTTGATTAATTTTGGTTCTCTGATACATAATTTTTTTCAGTTCTGTAAACCCTGACATGTTATTGCTGAAGTCTGACTATAATACGTTGCATTGTACGAATATTGGCATTAACGTAAGATTGCATGTCGTACAGTCTCAACCAAAACCAGTTAGAACTGTTCTTTGGCAACTGTATCATTTTTCTCCCCTCAAATACAGAACCGCACTAGGATCAGAAATTCAAACACTGCAACAAGTACCCTAAGTAACGCTAGCGTGCAGTTAGATAGTGCCCTAGATCCTTTAATCAAAATGTCCTCGCTTTTGTTACTTTGTCTGAAAGACTTAACATTAGAATAATGAAGCTTTTTGTATTTCGCCATTATGTCGGAATGGATTTGGCACTGCTTCTACATAAACAAAACCAGAAGCTTCAGCAAACTCTATTTTAACGCAGAACAAAGTTAGACGCTAACTGACTCTATATGACTAAAATTTTTAATATCAACATAAAAGGAACCAAAAAAACCCAGAAAATGTTTATGTACCTTTAGATAGCAATTTTCTGAATTTCTGAGTTGCTGTGAGCTGCTGATCAGGATCATCTGAGAAAATCATCTGCACCATATCTACTGTAATAACTTCTTCCTAAAAATGAAAGAATGATTTCTTATGTCTAATACTAAGCATATGAATAAGTAACATTTTAAAAACACACTAAAATATTTACCTCTGGAATAGGCACAGTAGAGCTGACATCAGGATCCTGAATTGGACTTTCTATCATAGATTCTTCATTTCCCGGAAGAGAAACGTTTCGGCGTTTAAAAAGCTAAACAAAGAAGAAATTCGTGGGAGTTGTCAAAGCTTACCATAGAGCAGGTAGTAATGACGTGTATTTGAAGGAATGCTTTCGCCAACGCCAGCTGAAATGTTTCAGTTACTCACCTTCCTATTCATCCACGCAAATGGAATTCTACATTAAAGTTGAAAGGACATAAAAGAGAAAAACACTACTACATCTGTACCTTGGTAAACAGTACTGCACCACATCAGAGAAAGTACCTGAGCTCTTTAATTAGAAAAGAGCTATGCATTTTTCACATGTAAGAAAAACAAAATACAGATCTTTTTGCTTTTAGTGTTTAAAAATTCAGCAAGTCATAATTCAATGTTTACTTTTTTTTAAAAAAAAAGTAGGTTGTGGAATACTGTTTCTTCCTTACATAGTTCATAAGCTAAAGTCATCAACGCAGAGGCAGCACTCGTTTTTCTGCATACTGCACCTCCCTTTAACATTCAGCACAGGAAGTCTAAGATCTATGCACTTTCTTTACAAGATAATTAAATGGTAACCACATTTAATATACAGTTGCAGAAAAATTAAAACAGAAACATTATTTTAATATAGATGGAGAAAAAACAGCGTAGCTTCAAGGTGAATTTTCTAAAGACGTAACCTGAAACATTCACGATATCCAAAACCACTTTAACATTGGCTTTATGCACTGCCTATACTCTAAACACATACTGTACTGAAAAAATTAATACTACTGAACTGTAGTATTTAATGAGTATGCTTAATAAGTACCTCTTCATTTCCTGGCATACAAACAGAACATTCACATTAGCCTGTTTTGCTTCTAGAAACCAAACCTGTATTTGTATCTTCAATTCAGTACTACACTTACAACTATTATAATTAACCATTCTACGAATACTATGACAATATCTTTAAAAATAAATGTTAAAATCTCAATCTATTCACTGTCTAGGATTTCACCTCTTAAGTATAATAACGAAACAGCCTACTTAATCCTGAAGATTTTGTCTTCAAAGTTGTCTAGACACCTACATTTCTGCTATGGCACATGGCCAAAACTGCTTAAGCAACTCCATATTTACTTCTACCCACATGTCAAAGAGGATCTTAAAACAAAACGCATGCTCTCTCTTGTTCAACGCACAACTCCCAAATTCGGTATAATCCTGGACACAAAACAATTGCATTCAATTCCACTGAAACCTAGAAATGGAAGGAGAGACAATATTGTTCTTTTGTAAGATCAGCCATTCTTTCTAGCACTCAGCAAGAGCGTGGAAGCTCTTGGTTGAAACCTGTTAACTGCTCTGTTTACAAGCACAGTGCATCTACCAGTTCTAACTTTACCTGGCACAAAAGCAATCTTTTTCTTGTATAATTTGTTCCCTCAGTGTGAGAGGAGCTGAAAATACTATTCCAGAAATTAAGAAGAAAGACACCACAAGAATATTCTCAGTCGGACGACACTCAGCATGAGACAAGGACCACCTACTATTCTTATAATTTATCTGAGAATAATTTACTAGAAAAATACACAAACAAACCTTTCAGGAGATACTAACATTCAGGTGAACCCATTCACAAGTAAATGCTCCATTACCTTACTACTTCTTACTCTTACCTCTCTGGCCCAACTAATTTAAATTCATTTTCCAGCATCACTTTCCCAGGAGAAGGGTAAGCATTCCCACCTCAGAGGAGGCTGTAGATCAGTGCCTGGGACACTCTCTAGGTTGTGGGAGACAGGAGTCAGCCACTTGAAACCAAGGAGAATAACAAACCTTTCCTTGCTTTCCTGGAAAAGAATTCTGAAACATTTGGGGAACAGGGACTACTGCCAGCCATAAAATTACACAATACTCTATGTACTCTCATCACTAAAAATTCAATGACAACAACTGAAAATATTATTTATAATAGTTTAGGGACTGTCATTTGGAAGCCACAGTACTAACCTACTTTATGAAAAGCTCTTGAGCAATTTGAGGCATGGGTTCCAAGACAAAATAACCCTCTCACTTTTAACAGTACAACTTCGGCCCAAACTCTAGAAGAGAATGTTGAAACCTTATCTGAATTAAGCTCCTCCTTTCACCCAGCTCTTATATGTCTGAACTTAGAGTAGAGATTAAACTTAAGATATGGATTTCTCATTGGTATTCCCCAATGACTTAAGAGGGCCTCTGTTCACTTCTTTGTTTTACGATCCTACGGAAAGGTGCCTGGCACTCACCAAGATCGCACAGAAAGCGGATATTTAGCCTGGTTCTCTGGATTCTACTCCACAGGAGCCTGCTCGAATCCCTTCACCGACCTGACTATAACTTCATAAACCCTTAACAGTTAATATCTCATTGAGAGGCTTACCTGCTCTTCCCTTTTTTGTTTCCGAAGCTGGATTCCTTCCTCTTCCCTTCGCCTACGCATTTCTTGGGGATTGAGCGCATTATTCTTGTAGCTTTTCATTCTGAAGTTATCTTTCCCTGGGCTTGCCATGTTGTCTATTAAAAAAAGAAAAATTACCTCAAAAGGCCAAGCCTTAAAGGACAAACCTGCCATCTCTTTTACTGCAAAAATACCTATAGCAGCAAAATGTATTCCTGCAGTTGTAAGCAATGCCTAGTTCATTCAAAAAAATCTTCAAAATAGAAATTAGAGAAAAATCATTGCCTAGATATGCATTTTTAATTGCAGATTAAACTACAGTTCCTCTCAGGGATCAGGCACTTAATTAAATGGCTTAAAGTACTCAAAATTAAGTTGCTTGTCTTACGAGACACAAACACCGAGAACACTACACTGCTAAATTTTGATCTAAAATTTAAGGGAATAATTGTCTGCCACTCTATCAGCAAGTACAGGAATTCACTTCCTCCTCTTCAAAAGGAAGAATTAGGTGTATCAAAATAAAATAAAATAAAATAAAAACAAATCCAAGAAGAAAACTTGCAATAATTATTCCTTCATTTAACATCATACGGTACTGTTTCTTCACTTTTTTAAGATGCCTACCTCAAAAACATAATAAAGGATCTAAAAGTTATCTTACATTTTCTTCTCTCATCTATATATAGAAAAACAAAAACACTGCAGAGAAACCAAATTAAGGGTCAATAGCACCCAGATAGGTCTATCCTTTTCCATTTTAAACTAACAAAGTGATTGACTCATTTTAATTATCAGTTCTTCTGATGTATAATGAAGATTAGTATCTGCCTGTCAACTTTGGCATATTGGTTCTGGAAAGATAAAAGTGACGCAGCACGATTCTGTCACTGAAATGATCAAATGTAACTGACTGACAAATTTTGTCAAACAGCAAGGTGCTTGTTTTTAAAGCTGAAACTGAAGCTTTCATCTGACAAATAATTAATTGTGAAAAATACGATTCAAGACTCTAAGCAAACTGATTTGTCTGGAATTCTTTCACAACAAAAGAACAGCTAAGGCATAAGAATATTTGAACTACAGTTCTTGAGCTGCAGGCCGTTCTCATGCTGAGGCTTTGTTATATCAGTATCGAGGGCTGCTCAGTAACAAACACCAGCCACGAGAGGATATCAGTCCACAGATTTAGGTTAGCACCAACAAGACACTCCGAGGACTGAGCAGCCTGTTCCACCCAAACGCATTAGGCTGGTGAGAGCCCTGGTAAACTACTGCCATCTCTGGACCACGGCTAACTGAGCCACCTTCCGAAGTAATTTTCCTGTAACTGTCTTGTGACTTTCGAGGTACAATTTCACAAGAGCATTTTTTGGACAAGACTGGCTTAACTAGTTCCAGAACACTTCACCTCTCTAGCCATTCATGTCCTGCCAATTCAGTTGTGCCAATAAAACTGTCAGGCCAAGCAATAAACAAACAGAAGTGCTAGGTTAAAAGTAATCCAACAAAATTATACCCTCGTGCCGACAAAGATTTTTCATGGGTGTTATACAGTCGGAAAAACTGGAAGTCCCTATCTGTTCATGCTTCACAACTTTTGCATCTACATTCAAGAAATTTTGAACTTCCCTGCTAAACCGTCAAATATTGTTCATGGGTGTTATACAGTCGGAAAAACTGGAAGTCCCTATCTGTTCATGCTTCACAACTTTTGCATCTACATTCAAGAAATTTTGAACTTCCCTGCTAAACCGTACTCACTTTAGCACTAAATCCCTCCACCAGCCACACTGTGTATCACACCCACCTGTTGTGCCTCGCCAGGCCCCTCGCCGGCCAGAGAGACAGATCAACGACGCATTTCACCCACGTCCTCTGAAAGGGAGTGGAAAAGGCTCCCTCCCCACCGCCCGGGCAACGGGGCACGGAGACCGGAGGAAGCAGCCCACCGGCGGGGGAGGCGGCAGGGAA